TCACGGGGCGGCACACGGTGGTCCGGTAGGACACGGGGCGGCCGCAGCAGGGGTCGCGGCTGAAGCAGGGCTGGCAGCAGCCTCCCCCAAGGCTCGGGGAGGAGAAGGAGGAGCCACAGCAGGAGCCGGTCATGGTGGTGTCTGGGCTGGGCTGGGTTGGGCTGGTGAGAGGAGCTGAGTGTTCTCAGGTGTGAATGTCTTCCTCCTGCTCTGCGCCCTTTATATACCCTGGCCCGGTGCTGATGACTCCCAGGACACACGGTCATGTCCTTGTGTTTTTTTATTCTTTTTGAAATAACACTGGCAGATTAGTAAGCTCTCTAGACGTTTTTTTTTTTAGGTGCTCAGATACTTGTAAAAAACTCTTTGTTTTCCTTATTTAATAGAAACTCATTATATTTTGCTATTTATGGTTCAAATAAGAACTTAATGACCCTAATTTCAGAGTCTCCAATTATCTTTATAATTCAGTGATGCTTTTGCCAGCTGATGTCTTGATAGCACAGAGTGGCTGTCATGCTCTTCGGGTTACTTACTAAGAGTGGAAGTGAATTCCCCAAGGTGTGAGTGTCCTTTTCCAATGCTAAGCCTCCCGGGCAAAACAAGTTCAGAACAATACTATAGGAATATTTTAAAAGTCGTGGTTTGTCAGTAAAAGAATAGTTTTCCAGTCCACTTTCTGGAGCTATAGGAATGCATCTTAGTAGGCCTCCATCATCAGTGTTTTGTTTTTTCCACTTTTTTTTTTTATTTTGCTAAGTTTACTCTCAACCATTTTTGTGTGTACAGTTTAGTGGCATTAAATGCATTCACAGTGTTGTGCAACCATCAGCACCATCCATCTCCAGAACTCTTTTGTCTTGCAAAACTGAAACTCTGTAGCTGTCAGACAATAACTGTTCATGTCCTGCTCTCTCCAGCCCCTGGCAACCACCACTGTACTTTTTAAAAAATTGTCTCCTCTTTTCCCCCATACCCCAGCCTATGGGAACCACTATTCTATGAATTCGGCTTTTTTTTCGGTCTTAGATGCATGCTCATTGATTTCTGTAGTCATATCTTTCCAAACCAAGGCGAGTTTCATTATTTATAATCTTCATGACAGTCAGTATCATTGAGTTCTACGTTCCAAGCATTGTGCTAGAAGAAATAAATGTATTAATTTATTCTTCATAACAATCCTATGAGGTACGTATTGTTATATTCCTCATTTTACACATAAGGAACCAGATAAGTGACTTGCCTAAGGTCAGATATCTAGTAATGTTGGAGCCAATATTTACTCTAAAAACTTCTGTGGAACAATATCTGTAAGCCCAAGAAGCTGAAGAATGGAATTATGGGTTACACAACCCTTGTCATTAAGGAACCTCTGTTCTCTTTAGGAACTTTATCAGTGAATTTAGTTTTATAACAGTGATTTTATTTATTTTAATAGTGAAATGGTTACTTTTTACAGTCATCTGAAAGAAGTCCATGTCTTACCCAAATCGTCAGGAATTGGAGGGAGTTATCTCCCACACAATCTTATCAAAATTCCAAAACACACCTGAAGGAGACAGTATCAAAGTTGGACGCAATTGTGTGGTCATGGGGCACCGTGAACAAAGCCACCATCTAGATGAAGGCTCAGTCTGCCAGCATGACAAAACCTCCAGGCAGCGATCCCCGCCAGCGGTAGTCTCCAGGCCCACCTTGCCCATACCCTAGAGTCTCTTGCTCCAATGTATCCCCGTTGACTATGCTTGAGCTCATTCCTGCTTACAGAACCAGTTGTGATTTTCACTTGTTTCAAACTGTCAGGGCCTGTAGGAAAATCATGACACTCAGCCATTTCGTAGCTTCTTCCTCTGGATTTTCTTGGTTCTGACCTTTTGCTTTACAACAAAGTCTGTTCCAGGTCTGTGGTTGAAGCCTCCAGTTTCAGCCTTCTTCTTGATCATTCTGCTTGCACAGTCCCTTGCAGCTTACTCAGACCTGCACCAGCAACTGTAGCTGACCAGGGCATTGAGTTACTGTGGAAACAAACATGATCCAATAATAATGATGAGCTTGAGAGAAAACAAAGCACTCTACATCTGAGGAAATATTGTAAGATGAAGAGGCCTCTAGAAGGCTAGCAGTAAAAATTCTGGGATGAAGGAAAACAGATGTAGTTAGAGAATTTAAAAAATGGTGATCAAGAATATGTAGAAAGAAATTGGACTTGTGAGCCCATCCATTAGTAAACTATCAAACCCTTAATAAAGAGAAAACTCCATTGCGCACATACTGACAATGTTAAAGTTCTTAATATAACGGGCTACTTGTTGAGAAACTTGGACCATATTTCAAGAAAAATACTTTCTTCATGAGGTGGCTTATTGTTTTATTGTAAGAATGCACATGTCCAGTGTGAGGAGAGAGCTGGGGTGGGATGAAGTGTTTCTCTCTTCCAACCCCTTAGAGCTTACTCAATCATTCAACAAATAATTTCTGAGTATATACTATGTGCCAAACACTGTGTGGATCAGTGGGAATCCAACAGTGAACAAAGTCAATCTAGATCCAGGCCTGGACAATGCTTATCTTGCCCGACTCCTCTCGCTGGGCAGGGAGATATGCCCAAGCATATAAGCAGCCCTTCCAAAAAACGCTTTTAGATCAGGTGTTGGGAACTCAATACACATTTCTCCAGAAAACAATAGTGGTTAGTTTCCTGACCAGCCTAAAAGTGTTTTTAACAACAACAAAAACATCCAGTGTGGATTAATGTTATCACTATTTCAAATACGTTGGCATTGTTTGTTTGTTTGTTTGTTTGTTTGTTTTTTGTGAGGAAGATCAGCCCTGAGCTAACATCCATACCAATCCCCCTCTTTTTGCTGAGGAAGACC